GGCGGGGGGGCGGAGGCGAGGGGCTCTCGCGCTGTGCAGGCCTCGGGTTGACCTGTTGTCCGTGTAGCCCAGGCGCCAAAACTAACAAGACAAGCCCTGCTGCAAAGGCAGCCCTTTTGTTAGCCTCCGAGTCAGCCTCCTTCTGCGCAAGGGAGAAACCCTGTTACGTGCTTGAACACAGCCTAGGCTGGGTCGGGGGAAACCAACCCTTAAACTACTCGGTAAGCCTTAACTCTGTGCTGTTCGTGTGGGGCTTGCGGGTCTGACRCTTTCCTCTCTCCTCTAGGATTAGAATGGGGAACCAGCTGCCAACTCCCGYAGGGCTGTCCAGTGATGCTGCTGCTGCCAACCAAGTGCAGGTAACAAACTGGTTATGAGATTCCTGCGCGTTTTCAGCGTTTGCAGAAGTGGTAGTTGCTTTCGGCCTTCTTAAGTTATACCAACATACACTGTAAGTAATTCTGCACATTGAATTGGATCTTTATTAGCAAATACTGCCTGCATCTTCTTAGGCTGGATTCTTTTTTGTTTGCTTGCTTTTCCCATGTTCTAGTTCAATATTGTCATCAGTGCTGGACATTAAACATGGTAAAATCAGTGACGTGGTGACTGATTTAGGTTCGTCCAGCAGTTGATGGCATCCTAGCACGTCTAAGAGCATGTCTTCAGCTGTTTTCTTTAAAAAGTTTCCAGAAAACCTTTAAAAGGGTTTCCTGCATTTGATACCATAATAGCAGATTTCTAACTTATCTGTTTGTCTTACAACTGTTAGATGCTGTTAAGATACATGGACTGAATTATGAGGCACACTGAGTTGAACCTTCTTTTGAATACGCAGGAGATTATTTCAGACAACTGTGTCGTAATTTTCTCTAAAACAACATGTTTCTACTGCAAAATGGCCAAAAAGCTTTTTAATGGTTTGGATATAAATTACACAGTCGTAGAACTCGATGTGAATAAAAATGGAAGTCAGTTCCAAGATATTCTCGAACAGATGACTGGCGGCAGAACAGTAAGTATGTCTTCTTAGATGACATAAGCAAAAATAGAAATTATGTTGCAGATATGATCTTTGTGGATTCTGCATTTTTGAGTGGTGGACAAGATGTTAACATAAGTTTCCTTCTTCATAAAAATTATCAAAATGTATATGAATACTACAGTAACTGTAAAAACTAAAACGTAAGTTCAGTTTTTAAGAYTAATAGGTTTTTATCCTAGTTCCTAAAGGTAACTAATGCAATTTCCATATGCTTGCCAGGTCCCGAGGGTGTTTGTCAATGGAACTTTTGTTGGAGGTGCTACAGATACACAAAGACTTCATGAGGAAGGCAAGCTGCTTCCGTTAGTTCATCARTGTCAACTGAGAGGAAAATTATAAACAGCCATTTAGCCTAGATTAGTTTTTTTTTTTTCCTTAGCCTTTTGCACAGTTAGAATTTCAGACCAGTTGAAAGAACAAAGTTATCACAATCCGGCTGAACCTAGCGGGATGTCAAGATACAGCTTTCTGAAACCCAGATCACTTTCTGACACAGAACTCATGGGCATGGCGAAGTATTTGGTTTATTTGCTTCAGTTTTACTGCAATCAAAATGGTGATAAAATCCATCATCTACCTCGTGGGGTTTGTAAGCGATGATGTCACACAGCTGGTGTCTTTTTTTTTTGCTGTTATGTGCTGACACTTTGGAGAAGTAGAGATTTTTTGTGTTACAAAAATACTATACCAGTGCCTATGAAATGGATAATAATGAGACCTGTGTTGCCATTTCCTACAAAACTTTTCGTGAAGATTTTCTGCACAATGCTGAAGTTTTGGAGAATCCTGTATTTTATGTTGCAAATTAATTTACTTTCTAATTTTGCTCCAGCATAATTTCAATAAATGGTGTAATCTCAGCTGAATCATTCTTTTCCATTAATTTCTTCTCACTGTCAAATGGTCATCATGAAGAAAGTACAAAGCAAAACAAGAAGTTTGTAGTGATATTACTCTATGTAAAGCTTGGTATTGTTTTATTCTATATTTTTTTTACTAGTTTAGAATTTTTTGTTTTTACCAAATTAAATGGTAATTCTATAAGCTTGCCACGAGCTCAGGTGCTGTATTTAAATTATGGAAATAAGATATTCAAACATGGAATTAGAAGGTGCCCTCYGAAGTGCTTCTGTCATCTTTTAATAGATGATGTTGCTATTATGGGAAATAGGTTTACTTTTCTCTTGAAAAGACAGTGTTTATAGAAAAAAGCCACTGCAACTTTGTGCTTAAAGTGATGCATCTGGTAGTAACTGTATCCTTAAGCTTTTACAGGGACTTACCTCATCTATGAGATTTTGTATTATGTCATTTTTCTATTGTGGTTTTTGTTACACATATTAAACTATCCCATAAAGGAGGGTTGCTTGGGTCTTTTTCAGACCGACTTACTTTTTAAGTACTTGTGTTTCATAGCAATTCAAATAAAGGACAAAATTGGGGGACTTCACTTTACTGCAAGGAAATGATGGTTTTAAACTAGCTCAGTTTTATCCTATCTTAGGGTCTTCTCTGGGAGATCTTCCACCCCAAACCTTGGGMCTTTCTTGATAACTTTGTTTATTGTAAATGTCCCTGGAAGCTCTAGGTCCCATCCACCCCTGGAGACAGGCCCCGGGCTACCTGCCTTCAGTCCTTYGCCTCCATCATATTTCAGTTCTCAAACAGTAAGTCCAACTGCTAAGGGAAAGTAAAACAAGATTCTTGTAGCTTTACAGGGGTAGATAATTGCTTTCATTTTAACACTGTGACTTACCAGTCTAAATACAGAGTAATTCAGGACTGTCCTCGTGGAGGAGTCACGTAGCTGGTTGTCACTGAACTAGACAGCACCATACCAGGTTAGGATTAAGCTGACATCATTATGAAACTTAAAACCAAGTAGAGTGGGTCTAATATGCATAGAGTTTATTACATGGTTATATTCTACAGTCAGAATGCAGTTTACTAGCATTTTTCACTCGCAGTTAAACATCTAATAAAAACACAATTGTTTCAGTATAATGTACATCCAAAGCCAGACCAGGCAACGCCAAGACTGGTGTCTTAATGTTCATTGAAAATAGGAAAATATATTCCCTTATGTAAAAGGGACCATTACACTATTAAAGGTGCACGGTTGAAGAATAAAAACTATGCAGTCAATTAAGTTTTATTCATTATTTGTGAATAAGGCTCCTGTAGTCTTYTGTTGACGATACCAGGTGCATCCAAACTACTTCCTTCCCTCAAGGAAACAAAGTATCAAATTTAGATACTTTCAGCTCGGATGACTGAAAGATTAAGAAAATTGTCTAAATTTGAAAAAATCATTTCTGTGATGCAAGTGTGAAATACATTTATTAACTTGCAGAAAGTCTTCAATATAAAATTCTCTGCACAGTGCATCTTTAACACATGTAATGAGCTAACTAAACACCCTCACCCTGTTATATCTTCWTTATTGCAGTTTACTACGTTTTGCTAGTTCCAACACTGCCTGATTAAAATTGTTTACAAGGACACACTCATCAAGTTAAACACATGTAAATGTATCTCTCCCTCTAAATTCATAATTACCAATGCAATTAATTTTGCACAGATGCTGGTTACAAAGTATACATGTAGAATTTTTAGGCCAGTTATGTTTTTTCAGATTAACTTTTGCACGTGAAAGCTGATAAATCCATTAGSGGGAAAAAAACAAAAAAGGCAAAGGAATTTTTCAAAGACTCTTCATTTTATTCCTCATTTAGAAAAAATAACCAAAGATCCCAATCTAAAATAACCCTTTGAGGTTTACAGTTCAGCAAAGTCAGGACTTTGTCATGTAAGGCAAAATTTCATTAACAACTGAGGAAATATATAGTATGCCTGAAGATACTAATGAGTGCCAATTTATTCAAAATAAGTATCTCTTAAGGCACTCAAAGGGTTATTTATTCTCATTATTTTTACAATGTTAAGGCTCCCCATCCAAATGTTTTCTCATTAACTTTGTSCCATTTCATAAAAAGTAGCAGCAATGGTGCCTTCATTTGTGGATGGCAAAAAGCCACATTATGTTTAAGTTATTTAAACATGCAACGGCAGCTGAAGTGTGATTCTACTCTGAAAAAATGGATTCAAATATTGTCATTGAAGACTTCTGTGTTTGTTTGTTTAGGAGTATCTCCAAGAGAAAGCTGCTTATCTTAAAATAACGTTTGCCTTCACAGATTCAACTCGGAATCTCAATGCTAAACATGACCCACTAAAAGATTCTGCAAGAGTCATTAGAGTTATAATAGTGATGCTGTTTGGGACATACGTGCTCATCCAGCCCAAATACCTTGCTCCTAATAAAGGTGAGAAGCTGGAAACAAACATCTCAAGCTACTGAACTCAGCAGATGGAGCTGTGAATGCACTGATCCACTGCCTCTACATGCAACATCTGTTGCTTCTTTTTTTCATTTTTAAGAGTAGAACTGCACTTTTATATGAGAATGTAATAGAATTTTTTTTTTTTTTGTCATTTGTGCTTAACTAAGCAGCTGGTAACATTAGCAAAACAGCTATTTCTACTCATTATTTGTTAATGAAGCATTTTAAGTTTTTAATGTGCTGTATATATAAAAACTTAAATTCATAATGGAGAAATACCTAAAAGAAAAAAAAAACCTCACTTTACAGTATCAGAAGTATAAATCCTAATGGATAGACAAYATCTGAAGACACTATAGCTCCTACTGAAAATGGCTCATCTTAATCTTAGCTCTCAGAGCAGCACATTCCATTGTTCTGATTTACATTTTCCCCATAGCCCCTAACTCGGTGTTATATATCGTGTTGTATCACAATGTGATGACAACACATCTTTTCTTCCAGCCATAAAACCCTTAAAACAATTTACTTACAGCAAATTTATCCACAGTGAACCACTSTCAATAGCTAAAAAGCCTGTAAACCCAACTAAATGTTGTCTAAAAGCACAAACGAAAAAAACCACACCTTTGCTCAGGTTTGTATCTGCGTACTATTCTTTAACATTTTTTTTCTAACCAATACTGCAAAGAAGTTCCCCATGTATCAAGACTATCCCATTTAAACGTTTTCCTCTGTTTGCAGATAACAGCAATTTGCTAATACTCAACAGAATGGAAAGCTCCTACCCACTGAAAAAATGCTAGAGAAGAAGCTTTAAATTTACACAAGCCAATACGAGAGGGTTATTTTACAAGCCTAAAATCACTTTTTAATTTTTTTTTTTTTTTCCAGGAAAAAACAACTCTTACTGATCTACTTCCATAATTTCACTGACTGATACAGCAAAATGAAGATTTTTGAGAGATTTTTGAGAGAAAAGTTTAACTAGCTTTTAAAATCCAGATAAATGCAAGGTCAGGTTTAGTGCAAGTCACTTAGCTAAGCCAGCACGCCCACGTGCCGCTCTGCACAGGTAGGGTAAGAACAGATGCAAAAAACACATGAATAAGTTTTTAGAGGAAAAGAGAGTCTTGTGTAAATCAGGTGTCGAGCAGATGGGAAAGGAAAACAAAAACTCCAACATCAACAGGCAAAAAGAAGGACGAAGAGAAAAGGTAATGGGGAAACTAAAGGAATGGAACCAATAATGCTTCTGATCTGGCTAGCTACCAGCTAGAGAGGCATCATTAAGCAGCGCGGCATTTTTACAGTGGAGAAAAATATTTTGCTAGTGTTTATTTTTTTTAAATAAAGCCATTATTAAAATACATCTCCAAAACCATCTGTGTACTTTTAAAGCCAAGAATAAATACTTTATTGCATACTGACCTTTTAAAGACAAACTCATTTATGGACYGCCCGAAAAAATAAAAAAAGAAAACTAAAGTCCAATTATTACATTTATCAAACATGTTTAAAGTGGTTTTAAGCAGCAAGTAAATTGTGCCTAGTTACTAGTGGCCATTGCATAGTGGTCAGTTAWGCAGACTGGCCCTGCTGGCCCTGTAAAACTAGCTTATTTTTAGATGATTAAAAAAAAAAAAAAACAAACCCACAGGATTGTAAAGTTACCTATATTGCCCGTATACAAGTTGTAAGAGCATCTCAAACTCTCCTCTTCACTRTGAAAGGTCCAAAATATCCGGCACACAATTCTAATTCTTGGCAAAAAATATCAGTGCTTATTCAGTTTACTACACAAAGCTGCTGTAGGTGTTGCACAACCTTTAAGAAACCTTGAGTTAGTGTTTCCCTTCTCCACACATTGATTTTATCACTCTGATGCAGAAACCTGACCTCTGAAGTCCATCAGTGACAGCCTTCACCACAGATGGTTGTTAACACCTCTCCTGCGCTTCTAAATGTTACATCCCTTTTTTTATTTTAAAAGCTAAAGTGCCTGCATCCTAAGAATATTAGACTGCTATGTCTAAGACTGTAAGAATTGTTAATGTGGTCACAGTGAAATGAAAGTCAAACTGGAATCCTAATAATTCAGGCTGTCAGACATCGGGAAATCAGTTCACCTCACTTAAACCTGCACGCTGCATTTAGACTTAACTTAGTTTTGAATAAAGTTATCATAATATTTAAACTTTTATATATTTACTGATAAACTGCAGTGTTCTACCACAATGGTACTTTCTAGTTTAGAGAACATGATAAATACTTAGGAGCACATTATGCACTCCAGCATGGACAACAGAATACAGCTTGGAATACAGATGGCAGAGCTATGCACTGTCRAGAGATACAGTTCCTATATGTCCTACTGAGATCTTCACCTTCACTTTAACTCTAGTTAGAGTATTTGTACTTAAAGTGGACTGCTTTC